GAGAAAGACAGCAAGGAGGAAGAAGGTGAAGGAAGGGGAAGAAAGAGACAAGGGTGGTGAAGGTGAAGGTGCCGGCAGCCATAGCCGAGGTAGAAGTTGACCGGAGGGTTGACCGGGCGTTGACCGGGCGTTGACCGGAAGGTTGACCGAGGTGTTGACTGGGGTCATGCAGCGTTGACCAAGCGTTGACCAAGTAGTTGACCGGCGCCATTGACCAAGGCTTGGACCAAGCTGGAGTTGGTAATATCTCGCCAAGCCCTTCGCCTACCCCTTTACCCTATGGATGTGCACTCTCCCTACGGTGCTTGCTGAGTCTAAGTCTGTCTGTCTCTTCTTGCTGCATCGAGTCTCTTCTGTCCTAAGTGGTAGCACTCTGTGGATGAAGGATAGCGCTTGGATGAAGAAACCTTAGTTTGACCTTGTAGGGCTGAGGCTGTGGCTGATCCAACTTTCCGGGGGGGCATAACCCTCCCAAGGACCGGTGCTGACCGGCTGGAAACGGTTGGTAGGACTCAGTGGGCCTGAACGGCAGCAAAGGCTGACACACTAGGCAGTCTTTAAGTGTTGAGGGTCTGTTTGAACCACTCCCCTACCGGACCAAGTAAGGTTGAGGATCTGTGTCTGACGACTCGACTGTCCCGGGGGATACGAACCCTCCCAAGGACCGGTACAGACCGGCGGGCTGCTCGCTGTGGCACAGTAGGCCGGAAAGGCTGAGTTGTGGGTTGAAAGCACAGGCAAGAACCAAGCTGATCACGTCAGCCTGTCTGCGACGTTAAAGAATTCTTGCGGAGTTTGGGGGATCTCCTTAAATGCCTCCAGATCAGCTATTGGTTCAGTAGTGACAGCCTTAGACTCTTAGAGTAGGTCCAAATTGGTGACCATAGTTGACAGGGTTCCACCCTGTGGTCCTTAGAGAGTCAGTCAGTGGGTCACTGTCCGGGTAGGTCTAAGTGGTGAGGAGTGGGACTCCTTGTCGTGCACCTGACACCACCATGGATGACTATCCGATGTATGGGTTACTTGTTGGGTTCTCCTTGTGGGGGACCCTTTGGCGTCTCCTCTTCCCCCTGGGGTTCTGGCCCACGCTCACGTGTAGAGTAGGAACCCGGGGCAGTACCTCCACTACACCCTACACCAAGGAAGAGGAGGAG